TACTACTACTACTACTACTACTACTACTACTACTACTACTACTACTACTACTACTACTACTACTACTACGACTACGACTACGACTACGACTACGACTACGACTACGACTACGACTACGACTACGACTACGACTACGACTACGACTAAGACTACGACTACGACTACGACTACGACTACTACTACTACTACTACTACTACTACTACTACTACTACTACTACTACTACTACTACTACTACTACTACCACTACTACCACTACTACTACTACTACTACTACTACTACTACTGCTACTACTACTCCTCCTCCTCCTCCTTCTCCTCGACCTCCTTCATGACCTCCTCGACCTCCTCAATGGTACTCAAAGACCGCGAGCAGAGCCCCGCGGGGATGGTACCACGAGTCCCAGACGGTCTAAGACCACCCCGAGTGGGCTCAAAGGAGGGGCCCACAGGCCTGGTCGCTTTGGCAGGTCGAATCGACTTTTCGAGCGCACCGCTCCACGACGTCCCTGAAAACCCCAGACGTGGCTCCCAGAGGGCCCAAGAGGCCCCCAGGACGAGGCCGGAAGCTCGACGCTCCCAAAGAGAGAAGCATCCAAGGCCTCTGGGGGGCCGTTTGGGGGCCTCTTTTCGTCCTCCCGGGGGTCTCTCGGGGCCTCGGGAGCACCATCGCTCCAAAAGCAATCCCGAGAGGGTGGGTGGGGAAGGCGTTGGCTGAGAGACGGTTGAGCGAGAGCGGCGTAGAGGAGTACGCGGAGGGGAAAGGAATGGGAAGAAAGAAGAGGCGGAGAAGAGAGCGCGGAAGAGGACAAGCTAGGCGCGCTTGTGCTATGTCATGCTATATCTGAAATATTACCCCTCCCATCCATATCGTCCCTCTGTGCTGATTCCTCTATCCGCGGACACGTGTCCGAGCGGACCTGGATATCCCCAAAAGACCCTATCGTGATATGCGCAATCGGAAAATAGAGCTGCGTACATGAGAGGGGAGAAGGAGGAGGACGAGGAGGAGGAGGAGGAGGAGGAGGAGAGGAGGAGGAAGAAAGGAGGAGGAGGAGCAGGAGGTTGATTAGCTACACGTAAGGGTGACCCTGGGCAAGGGCGACCCCTGGTGAGCGACTTCACGGGGGACGCGGGGTGGCCGAGCCCAGGCGCGCAAGCCGCCGCTACCGCTTCGCGTGTAGCGATCGGGGGATATCATAGGGCCCGCACCGACGGTCACTCCAGCGAACGGTCCCTCGCACGTGTAGTCGAGATGAGCAGGAGGAAAACGAAAGAGAGGATGAGGAGATTCGAAAACAACAACAAGAATTGCCAACGCACTAAGGCAAGAGGCCTCTCCTGGCCCGTGTCTGCCGCACAACTGCGCCAATGTCAGGGGCTGACCGTCCGCGCCCGTCACGAGCCGGTTCAGCAGCGCCTCTGCCGATGCCGCAAGCGCGCGGCGCAGATCTGGTCCTCCCTCCTCCTCATCCTCCTCCTCCTCGTCCTCCTGCTCCTCCTCCTCCTCCTCCTCCTCCTCCTCCTCCTCCGCCTCCGCCTCCGCCTCCGCATCCAACTCCGCCTCCGCCTCCGCCTCCGCCTCCGCCTCCTCCTCCTCCTCCTCCTCCTCCGCCTCCTCCTCCTCCTCCTCCTCCGTGTCTCCCTCCTCCCCCTCCTCCTCCTCCTCCTCCTCGTCCTCCTCCTCCTCCCTGTTCCTGCTCTGCTCCTGCTCCTGCTCCTGCTCCTGCTCCTGCTCCTGCTCCTGCTCCTCCTCCTCCTCCTCCTCCGCCTCCTCCTCCTCCTCCATCTTTTGCTCCTCCTCCTCCTCCTGCTCCTCGTTTTCCCCCTCTTCTCTCTTCTCCTTCTCCTCCTCTCCTCCTCCTCCTCCTCCCCTCCTCCTCCTCCTCCTCCTCCTCCTCCTACTAGTCCTCCTCCTCCTCCTCCTCTTCCTCCTCCTCCTCCGCCTCCTCCATTCGTGTTCCTTATACATAACTTATCCCTGTCTCACCTCGAGGCTAGTTTTCAGGGCGGTGCGGGCGTTACGCCTAAGACTTCCTCAACACGTATGGCACTGACGAAGCTCAAGCATTGACTACGATCGTCATGAGTAGCATGATCGTCATCAACATCAGCATCATCGTCAGCATCGACAGCAGCATCAGCATCCTCGTCTTCATCGTCATCATCACCATCAGCAGCAGCATCAGCATCACCAGCATCAGCATCAGCATCACCATCATCATCGGCATCATCAAAATCACAGTCGGCATCACCATCATCATCATCGGCCTTCTCATCATCAACAACTTCATGGTCATCATCGTTGTCATCAGCATCCGCATCAGCATCAGCATCATCGTCAGCAGCAGCAGCATTAACATGAACATCGTCCGAATCAGCATCATCATAGTCATCAGCGTCATCATCAGCAGCATCACCATCACCATCAGCATCATCAGCATCATCACACTCATCAGCATCACCATCATCAGCATCATCAGCATTATCAGCAGAATGATTAGCACCAGCACCAGCAGCATCAGCAGCAGCATCCGCATCATCAGCATCAGCATAATCATCAGCATCATCATCATCATCAACAACAGCATCATCACCACCATCCTCATCATCACCATTAGCGTGCTCATCATTCTTCTCCGCCTCCTCCTGCTCCGCCTCATCTCCATCTTACTCCTCATCCTCCGCCTGGTCCTCCTCCGTTTCCTCTTCCTCCACCTCTTCCTCCTCCTCCTCGTCATCATCATCATCAGCATCATCATCCTGCTCCTCCTCCTCATCCTCCTCCTCCTCCTAATCATTATAACCATCAGCATCGTCGTCCTCCTCCTCCTCATCATCATCATCAACAACACCATCACCATCAATAGTATCCCCTGGCTCCGCCAACTCCTCCTCCTCGTCCTCCTCCTCCTCCTGCTCCTCCTCATCCCCTCCTCCTCCTCCTCCTCCTCCTCCTCCTCCTCCTCCTCCTCCTCCTCGTCCTCCTCTTCATCCTCATCCTCATCCTCATCCTCATCCTCATCCTCCTACGCCGCATCCCTCCCCCTCATTCCGGAGCACATCCTCTCTCTCCACGTTCTCCTCCTCCTCCGACGCGCGGCACGGCGCTTTGGACGCGCTCCCTGGACGCCAACGTGGAGAAGACCATCGAGCAGCACGGCTGAAGAGGCGGGGCGTGGTGCGGGCGTCGGCCGCCGATCTCCTCCCTCCTCCGCATGTTGTCGAATTTAAGACCCTTGGGCATCTGTGTCAGCAATATGTCAGGTAGGGGCTTCGGAGCCTGTCCTGGGGTGGCTGCTCCTTTGTGGCGAAACTAACCAAACCTAACCTAATCCTCCCCCTCCTCCTCCTCCTCCCCCTCCTCCGCAAACTCCTCCTCCTCCACCTCCTCCTCCTCCTCCTACACCGCCGACTCCATAACATCTTCCTCCTCCTCCTCCTCCTCCTCCTCCTCCTCCTCCGTGCCGAGACCAGGGGCACTCACTCGTGGGCGCGAGCACGCGGGTTTTAAACTCCTCCTCCTCCTCCCCCCCTCCCCTCCCCCTCCCCCTCCTCCTCCTCCTCCTCCTCCCTCCTCCTCCCTCCTGCTCCTCTCCCTCCTCCTCCTCCTCCTCCTCCTCCGCCTCCTCCTCCTCCTCCCCCTCCCCCTCCCCCCCTCCTCCTCCTCTCCTCCTCCTCCTCCTCCCTCCTCCTCCTCCTCCTCCTCCTCCTCCTCCTCCTCCTCCTCCTCCTCCTCCTCCTCCTCCTCCTCCTCCTCCTCCTCCTCCCTCCTCCTCCTCCCTCCTCCTCCTCCTCCCTCCTCCTCTCCCTCCCTCCCTCCCTCCCTCCCACCCTCCCTCCCTCCTCCTCCCTCCCTCCCTCCCTCCTCCTCCCTCCTCCTCCTCCTCCTCCTCCTTCCTTCTCTTCCTCCTCCTCCTCCTCCTCCTCCTCCTCCTCCTCCTCCTCCGCCTCCGCCTCCGCCTCCGCCAGCGCTGCGTTTTTTTGTTTTGCTTTTTATTCCTGGGGGGGGGCTCCAATGCTCGCCGCGGCCTCCCTCCCAGCACTCACTCCCCTCTGAGCCTGCAAAACCAAAAGAAACATTGGGAACTGGGGGGGGGCCAATCGCCTCGATGTCGGCGCCGATTTGCTGGTTGTCAATGCTGCAGTTGGGGCGCGGGGGTCGGTGCCGCTGGCGAAGAAGACCGCCGCCGCAAAGCCCTTCCTAGGGCCTTCGTGCTGCCGGGTGAGACGGTCCAGACGCGCCATCTCCTAGGTGCAAGGCTGGCCCGCATCCGAAACAAATGACGGCCGTCCTGTCGTCGACGCGTGTGTCGAAATACAGTCGGGGCCTTGACCAAAGGAACCCAAAATAAGGAACGAGGCCCGTTTTTCCTATAAATTAAACTTTGATTTCCGATCAAAAACATAAGGAAAACCTGAGGCGAGCTGTGAAACACTTAAGGAACACGGAGCCCCTCCCCAACGAAAAGGGTTCCTTCTTCAGGGCCCCGACTGTACTGCGGGCCATTGATCGCGTGCTTCGAGATGGCCTACTGCGTGGCGGCTTCTGCCGCCGCCCCCGGCAGGGGGACCTGGTCGCCCAGTGCGAGGCCGCGTGCTCTCCGCCGCAGAGAGTCGCGGGCGTGTCGCCGTCCGCGGAGAAGAGCATCTGGGCGCGGGTGTCCCGCATTCTGTGCAGAACCGCCGCTCGCTTCGCCCGAAGCGGGGCGATGCGGTTGAAGCGGCTGACCAGGTCGCCGGCGCGCGCCGCTGTCGGGGGGCCTCGGCTACTCGAGTGGCGCCGGCGGCGGCCTGGGGGCGGTGCGGCTCCCCGGCCGCGTCTGCAGATTGGGCCCTGGTGGCCAAGGAACGGAGGCTTTGAACGAGGCATCTCGACAGGGCGCGCGCGACGACGGGGATGGCGGCAATCGGGAGCAAATCCCGTGAGGAAATCGCCGGGGTGAAGGTGGCTTCCTGCGCGTGGAGCGCGGTGCCAGACGCCCGGGCTGATGGCCGTGTCGGCGAGGCAACGGCGGCGGAAACTGGTGTAACAACGCGCGTCTACAGATTGGCAACGGCGAATTAGCGCGCGCATGTGATCCGGCGGTGGAAGGGCCCAGGCGGACAGCGCGCGCTCGTGGACTGGCGACGGTGGAAGCCAGCGGGACATGACAAACTGGCAACTCGGCAACGGCAATAGCCGGGTATCCAACGTGGGCTTGTGACTCATCGGCGTTGTGACTCATCGGCGACTGGGGGCCCGGGTGTCCGGCGCAGGCGTCCGTTCCTCTTTCTCCTCTTCGTTCTCGTCCTCCTCTTCCTGGCGATGGCGGGGCGGGCGGGGGCGCGCGGCGGCGGGGTGGGCGTGGGGGGGGAGGGGGGCGGGCGCCGCGCATTGCGTAGACGCTGATGCCGCAAAGAACGAGATGTCGAATGCCCGCGATGATTGGCGCTGGAGCCGTTGTCGTCTTGCTGCGCCCAGGCCCGCTGCGAGCGGGCGCTTGCCTCGCGCGCGGCGGGGAAGCTGCTTTTCCAAGTGGCCGGCTCGGCAACGGCGCGAGAGACCTGGCTTTTCCGTGCCCGCGCGGGCCCTGGGCGGCGTCGCCGACGGCCGCCTTGCGCTCCCGGTCTTTGGCCCTCCACGCGGCTCTGATGCGCGCGATGGTCGTGCTGGTCGCTGGTGTCTTCAAGGATATGGCGTGCGAGCATCTGTCGTCGAGGTCGCGCGCGATGCGCTCGCGCGCGCATGAGAGAGCCCCGGTCGAGCGCAAACAACCGTTCCCCCGCGCTGCGTCCGCCGGCCAGGCGGCGGAGGCCGGTGGCAGAATGTGTCGAGCGCGCGCGCGAGTGGATGGACAAGCAAACGCGCAATGTGGACAAATGGCATTCTTTGTCGCGATCGCTGCGTCGGAGTGCTTCCGCCACGCGCGCTTGATGTTGGAACCTAACCCAACCAGGCGCGGGGCTGATTGACAGTTGAGGCAATGCATCGCGTGTGGTATCTGCTTCTTGCAATGCGGGCGTGTGAGATTTCGAGCGCTTTCCGCGCTGGCGGTGGCCCGGGCCTCTCGAGGATATCTTCTCGACTACATCGGCTGAGTTGGGCGGGGGCGAGCTCGGGCGCCAGCCTGGAAAGTTGTCGAGTCGGGGGGGGCTGGCAGGCGGCGACCTGCCGCGGGGCCGGGGGCTGCTTGCCCTTCGGCCGTCGGCGTTTCAACGGAGGCGTCGCGAACAGAGCGGGGGTGTCACGAGCTGGTCACCTCGTCTGGCCGCCGCCTGGGTCCGAAGGGGGGCTCCCAAATTGTGGCTGGGCGTCGGCAGGGGCCGGAGGAATGCCGCGAATGTGTGACTCAGCGGCTGCGGGGGCCAGGGGGACGGCGCGCGCTTGTGGTTTGGCGGCGGCGAGGCCCAGGCGAAGAGCCCCAACTTGTGACCTGGAGTCGACGCGACCCCGGAAATCAGCGCGACTTGGCAACTCATCGCGAACTTGTGGCCCGACCCGGGAGAGCAGCGCGGCCTAGCAACTCCGCGGCGGCGAGCGCTGGGCGCACTCGTGGGGCGGCGTCGGCAGGGGCTGGGAAAGGCGCGCGATCGGCCCGTCTTCCTCGCCCTCCGCCGCCTCTTCCGTCTGTTCGAGGGCCAGGACCGCCACAGAGGCCTCCAACAGGCCCAGCCCCCCAAGGGGCGCAACAAAGGCCCCAAGAGGCGCCGACACGGCCCCCAAGAGGGGTCAAAGCTGCTTCCGAAAAGCACCCTGCAAGCCTCGTGGGCCCCCCCTGGATTAGTACTGCGACGGTCACATAACATATATCGGAGGTTGGGGGGTGAGTCCGACGTGAAACGGAGACCCCACCTACCGGGAAATCGGTTTCGGTTTCGGGTTCGTGTCGTGCGTGCTGTGCGTGCATGCGGGCGCGGGGAAATCCTCCTGTTGGCTGGGCCGCGGCCGGACCAAATGTTTCTCCTCCGGCGGCTGGTGGCCCGCGGTGTCCCGCCGGTGTCCCGCTTGGAGGGTGAAAGTGGGGGTCGGGCGCAGGGTCCCGGCAATGGTGTCTTTATGGGCCACGCATGGGCGATACATCCTCGATTGCTGTGTTCGGCGGGGGAACCACTTGAAGCTCCGCGCCTGCATCCATGCGCGAGACTTGAGGGTAAACGGAGCAAGGGGGCCGGGGGCTCGGGAAAGGCGACGAAGTCAACGTGCGCTGAGGGAGCAAAAAAAAGGTTGGAATAAACGAAAGTGGTGAGGTGAGTGTCGAAATCTGCCCAGCCAGTCTGACATGCGGAACACTGCGCCCAAGTTTTGGGGACTTTGAAGGCCATGGCAAAATGTGAATTCACATTGTGGGAAAAACGAAATGTGAATTCACATTTTGGGAAAAAGGACCATGTGAATTCACATTTTGGAAAAAAGGAATCTGTGAATCCACATTTGGGAATTTCTACGTTGGAAAATTTGTGAAAGGGGCCAGAATGTGAATTCGCATTTTGGGAGAGAGATAAAGTAACTTCACACCTGGGTAAAAAGGAAATGTGACTTCACATTTTGGGACAATCGCGGAACCCATTCCAAATCTGTCTTGGGGGCCGACAAGTCATCGTTTGGGAACATACGCGATCATCTATCGCACACCCAAGACACACTTGTACTCCACTTCGCCGTCCCACGCACAATATGCAAGAACGCCCGCACGCATGAACGATAATGCATGGACGGCGCGTTTGCCCGCGCGGGCAACGCGCGGGCACGAACCACTGGCCCTCCATGACCGTCAACATTGGACGCCAATCGTACCCGATCGCATACACGAGCGATACATTGAGCATACATGGGCCATTCAACCCAAGACCCACTGTTGCAGACCCCCTCTTTCACCCTCCAACCCGCTGGTGTCCCGAAATTCTCCTGTGGCTGGGCCGCGGCCGGACCAAATGTTTCTCCTCCGGCGGCTGGTGGCGCGCGGTGTCCCGCCGGTGTCCCGAAATCCTCCTGTGACTGGGCCGCGGCCGGACCAAATGATTCTCCTCCGGCGGCCAGTGGCGCGCGGTGTCCCGAAATCCTCCTGTGGCTGGGCCGCGGCCGGACCAAATGATGCTCCTCCCGTCAAGCGGTGGCCCGCGGTGTCCCGCTGGTGTCCCGCCGGTGTCCCGCTGGTGTCCCGCTGGTGC